GCAAGAAGGGGGATGATGTGTGCAGGTTTGTGCATGAACTGCAGTCGTCAGCGATTGACGAGCACTCGTAAAAGTGAACTGCAGGTAGTGGGTTGGTGGTAGTGGGTTGGTGGGTGGTGGTTGGGGCTTGGTAGGCAGGTGGTTGGTGGTGGGTTTGTTTGCTTGTTCAAAGCTTTCGTTTTCATGCGATAGTACATTTTTAATGAGTTATTTCGCTTGTGAGATGACATAATGGTGCCAACTGTTGATGATAGTTGTGTCGGCGGTGGTGGCGGTGGTGGCGGCAGTCGATATAAACAGCATGGACGATAACAATATTGCGATAACAAAGACAAAATGACTGCAACAGAACTATCAACAAAAAAAAACTGGAAAAATAATCACACACATCAACACACTCACACAAACACTTGCAATTACACACACAAACACATGCGCACACACACAACACACACAAACGCACATGTTAACTTACTGAACAACGTGGTGTTGCTGTCAATCAAGTAATTTTTGTTGCGAACGACTTCAACAATGACAACTTTTGTTGGTTGCTCTGCTTCGTATGAATACTGCGGTGGTGTGTGTTGAGTGTGTGGTGTGTGGGGTGTGTGGGGTGTGTGGGGTGTGTGTTGAGTGTGTGGTGTGGTGTGTGGAAAGTGGAGTGCGGAGGCATGCATGGAAAGTGAATGTATTCGATGCACGGAATCATGAGGTAGGTTGGTTAGTAGGTAGGTGGGTAGGTGGGTAGGTGGGTAGGTAGGTGGTAGGTAGGTAGGTAGGTAGGTAGGTAGGTGGGTAGGTAGGTAGGTATATGATTTTACTGTACCTACCCACCAACTATTATTACGATACCGATATTATAATACAAACGTTACGATATCAACATGACAAAAAAACATTACGACATTAATGTTACAAAGACATAAAGACATTAACATTACAAAAACATTACGACATTAAAACAACAACATAATGACGACAACATTACAACCGCCAGCGCTACTACAACACAACTACAACCAACATTACATTTTACGAG